AGTTATAAGCATGTTTTCTTTTTCTTTGAAATAACAATAATCAACATACTTTTTTCGTCGAAAATGTTTGTTATTCATAAAAATTGAATGAGATTTGGTTAAAACTTTTAAATATTTATTTTTTAGAACATGATGATTCATAACTTTCAGTTTTAATACGACAGTACCTCTGACACAGTATGTGCGAAGTATGCATATCCGGGTATTTATCATCAGTGTATCAATATCTTGCCTGCAAGTAAAATAATATCAATAACATTTCTCTATTGTTCTCTACTGTTATAATCGAAGCAAATCAAATAAAAATATGTTTAATAAGAACAACATCTAATTTGAAGCTTTTGAACATTTTTGAAATTTGTTTTAATACTTCCTTAGATTTTGGTAGTGTGACACTATAAATCATTTCGTAAATAAAATAACATATAGATAAGTTTATTAACGTGATATTTGTTTTTTCAAAAGACCATTGTCTTTAAAGTAGGAATTAAGAATAATTTCAACTCGTTCGAGATAACCAGTAGATAATTTAATGTTTTAGACTATTGAATAACAGTATGTTAGTAAATCGTGTATGACCTCAATGTTTTAGTAAAATATGCAATTATGGTAACATCGCAACTAAATAATAATAATACCAACTTTATTCATGAGGTGTTATGAGTGTAAAATTATAATAACTTCTAGTTATTGGTGTATTTAATAACAATATTTAATATTATCTATAAATAGATTTTTTTAACTATCTCGTTTTAAAACACGCTCTATGCGAGAAAGGTGGACGATTTTACGGTTAAATAAATAATTTTTCCACTACAATAATATTATTATAAGCAATAATATAATAATAAGTTTCATTATGTACATGTACAAAACCTTATTAGATCTGAAATGACAATTGTTGTATGGAAGTATGTAGATCTAATGTAACAGCTGAGCTAAATATAATCGTTATGAAAATACAGTACGATACTAAAACAAGACAAGCGATGAAAATAAGTCCAATTTTTTTTACGCTATTACTCGGTTGGGTTAGGTTAGTAATATTTAACTTTTATTTATGTAAAATATTCAATTTTTTTTTTTTTTATTACTCGATCGTTTAAACAAAAAATACAATTTCCGTTTTAAACCTAAGGTACGTCTTACCTAAATGAATTACAAATTATACCTGTTTGAATTAAATAACATAATCATTCCATTAGCATACAAACATATGTATATCCACACAGGTATTATACATACATTATTAACATATATTATAATATTAAACACTGATCGAACGAAATCACACGATAACTATAAATACCGTATGTACTGTGTGTATATTCTGTAAACATAATAACGTGTAATCCTATTACTGTAATAATAAATATTGAATTTTCGAACGTAGGAAAAATCGCTTAAAACTGTACGTAAGTTTTTCGCATTGGAATAGCGTGAAACTACGGCCAATTTTCTTATTTGTCCGATTTCGGGTTCAAGATTTTTCGGCCGTTCGCAGCACGCAAAACGCTGCCCTAGTGGTACAGGCGATATAGGTATTCGTTGTAATATTTTATAACGGTTATTATATTTCGTAAAAACGTGTTAGAAAAAATCCGATAACATAAAACGAGTCAAGAATTGACTACTGCATAATTTTATGTATATACGTCTAACACGTATATACTCAGATGCCTATATTTAAACGCGTAACCATCATGCATATAATAGTATAAATAATAACGTTTCGGTTTCCACGAGGAATTACACAGCTTATTATATTTAATAATATACCTGTACAACATATCATGAACAATTATATCGTTATTCTGATGAGATCATGTCGAGCCTAAAATCTAAAAACTTCCAGTGAGTGCAGCATATCCCTGTATAACCGGAAACCTAAGAGACTTAGATGCGCGCACTTAGTTTCAATAGTTTTAAACGTGAAAAGAGTTGTTTGTGTAAAACTAATGTTCATATTATTAGCATTGTGTAGATGTTTTAATTATTTGAATATAATTTAAAATTGATCTATATGATTTGTTAAATAAATTTTAATTTATATCTAAAAATATTACGTTTCGTCATTCGAATAAAACAAGGAACTCTACGAAGTGAAACTGTTAGTTGTGACAGTCGGAAAAATGTGACTGGAGGCCACAAAAATCGATGTTACAATCGTTGATGATCACTGCGATGAAATAATCATTATTCACGGTGATACATTATTGTAGGTATCTATTAATAACCCGATTTATTTACATACAGAGTGATCGTTTGTATTGTTTTATAAAGTTCTTATGGTTTAAAAATGTACGTCACCGTTCTAAAAATCGAGAACTGTAAATAGACAAGATTTGAAATTGGATCGACTATCAAATGTGTCTATAAAATTTAAATTATTTTTTGTGAATAGTTAATAATTCATTACAACGTTACCGATACTTTTGTTGTACGCATCATACGAAAACGAGTTTGTACAAACAGAATACCGATGCGAAATTTTGTTTTTATCGTAACGCTCAGTTGTTTGCCATTTCTCGGCGTTAGCTATTCAGTGGCATAATTTTGGGGGGGATATGGGGATTCATCCCACCCCCAGACGCTTTTTTTTTAGAATAATTATAATTAAATTTCTGTAAGCACTAAGCTTTAAAAGATTTTAAGATAAGAAATAAGAATACATGGATATTTATCATAGTTGAGATTTTTTTTATTTTACTAATATAAAACTACGATAATTCAACAATTATAATATATGACAAGAAAATTGTATAGCTCAAGTTAAAATATAACACTGATAAATCTACAATTTACCACTCTTGTTAAGTGCTTAAAGCATACAATATTTCACAAAAACATGAAACATTGAAATTTTTTCTAAAACAAATATTAATTTTAGTTATTTATCAATTATTTGTTATATAATTTAAAAGTTCTTATTATAATCATTAATATTAATGAAATGAGTACAGTGGTTGACATATTACTATAATAACTATATTATACTATATATATATTGGGTCTTGTTTTCGACTATTTATAGCATTATAGCAAAACTTGGTTTATTTTCCTAGGAAATTGATTTCGACGACGTCGACAAACAATGTATCATTATATTATTCTATTCAGTGGTATGAGGTATTAATCAGTGATGCCATGTTGGCCTTTTTAAGTCCAAATCTGACCTTTTTAGGGCTAAATCTTGCCTTTTTCATTTCAATCTGACTGAAAAAATACACAATCTTGCTCCTAGCTTTTTTTCTAGCCATTAATTGTTTTTAACTAGCTTAATTCTGATTTAAGTTATATATAATATATTTTAATTAATTGTTTGTGTATATAAGTATAATATTACACAACGACATTGATATCATGAGTTTTTCCCTTCGTTTTCCTTATCACTCCATATGATAAACCATATTTATGGTTGTTATCATAACAAATTATATTTATCTGTGGTGGTTGTTAACCATAGACCTTTTATATATTAGGTCTATGCTAAAATAAATTGTCGTAATAAAGTTGAACTATTTTTTTAAATAATCTAAATCTTCATACATTTATGTATTTCTTATTTCTATGTAATTATTATGGCATACCCATATCCATAAATTTAAAAATCAATAACACAAGGATATTTTCTTAGGAAAAACAAAGAATTAGATCAATGATTTCTGTAGAACAACCTGTAAGTACAAAGTTAGAAAAAGTTAATAATCAAAAATTAACATTTTTTACAATCATTATTATACCATTTAATTTATAATAATAAATTAATATAATATTGAGATATATGAGGTTTAATGTTTAAAGGGGGTGTTGGGGTATAGCCCCACTAGAATGATAGTATAAATTTATATCCCAATCCCACCCCAAAACCAATTCCAAATTACGCCACTGTAGCTATTTGGTTATTTATTTAGTTATTTGGAGAGACACAAGGAGCCCGTATACATTTTATTCATTTCTAGTTGTAATGACGCACATATACGGGCGAGAGATAAAAGGGTATTTCGAAAAAACTACCAAAACCAACGGAGAAAAACTCACGGAATCTGTTCAAAACACGGTGATCGTCCTGTATACGCAAGTGCGGTATATTTATGTTATAACACACGAATAGGAAGAGCGTGTGTGTGTGTGTGTGTGAGAAAGAGAGAGAGAGAGAGAGTATAAAGTGTAAAACCAGACCACAATAATATAATAAACGAGACGGACGGAAAATCGACGCGTTGGACTCGCCAAGCAACCAAATAACTGTATACCCTCTACGCGAGTCCGGTTAGCGGCGGCGGCAACGGTGGGCCACGCGACGGTCGAGCGATCGCATTCTTTCTGTCCGACCCGCCCTCTCGTCGCCGCGGCCGTCACCTCTCACGAAAACGCATCGCTCTCTCCGGCAGCCGCCGCCGTACACCATCGCCGCGATTTACCGATCATCACCGTCCCGTTCCGCGTAGAAAAAACCTTCACGGTCACTGTTATCAACAAACCGCTACTTCTGCTGCTTCTGCTTATTCGTTCCCACATCGCCCTCGCTATCACGCAGGAGCGTATTTAGACTTACTTTTAAGAGGGGGAGAGGACTTATTTTTTTCTTTAATTCAGGCTCAACATTTATAAATAAAATTGTTGGTATTATTTAAATCTAATGAATCCTTAATGTTTGTGGTTTTTTTTTTTTTAATCTAATGCCGTATTCACTTAGAATCGACTTTCATGTAGTTCTTTTTTAACACCTATCTGTGTTTTGAAAGTTAAGCTTGTGTTTGATTTGATTCTTCGCTAAGTACGGATCCGACATAAAACCCCATTCAATGTTCATAGCCACGCGTAATTTGATTTCGTTACAAAACTGTACACATTGAAAAAATTTGAAATGTGTATCTCACATATGATCGATTCCTTAAGTACGGATTCAGGGAGGGACGGTCGCCCCTTCCCCTCATAAAATACGTCCCTACTGTCACGTCGGCAAATCTCTCGCGTATATCCCGCCCGGCTCCGTCGTCGTACGCGAAGCAGACGTCGACTGGAACCCGACCAAGACGGAACAATATTCGTCGATCCGCGTTCAACGGTTTTTCGGTACAGGTACGCACCGTGCACGGCCGGTACACGCGCGGCGCATACTCTCGCGCCCGAGAGCGCTCTCCTTCCCGGCCGGTTTCCGCGTTAGTCCACTTCTCCCGCGGCAACTCGCGACGACGACGTCGACCGCTTCTCAATTAGTCCCACGTCGCGGAGACCGTAAGACGCGCGTACGACAATCGGACGTCGCACAACCCCCGGTCCGCACCACAACCACGATCGCGGCACGATCGTCGGCGGCAACCAGGAACACACCGCCGTGAGTACCTGTTATAATACAGTTTTTTTTTCGGAATAATACATAATGCAAATATGAATCCCGATGTTGTTACGCCACAATTTTCATTGACCCATCTCCTTCGTAGCCATGTAACTTGTGTTGGAGATGGGCAGTGGCGGCCCGACTAATACAATAACTTTTTTAATATTATTATTAACATAATTAACGCAACGGATTACTCATTAAAATTAAATATTATCGTGTACAAAAGAATACAAACTATTTAAGATGCTAATAGATATTTTTTGTACGTTGTGAACTCCATGACATAATCTTATCATCCATCTATGTTTTAAAATTGGAACATAAACTTAATTGAATATGGACTTCTACTGAATAAATAAAAATACTGACCAAAATATTTATTGGCATATTGAATGAGAAAATCATAATTTTTAATTATCTTTTACTACTTAAAGCAGGCGTGTCCACAACATTTAGAGGGGTTTTAGGTTGTATATTTTCATACTTATATAATATATATACCACTTTTACTCTATAAAATCATATTTACACATTTTCTTAAATTTCGATGGGAGGAGGGGTTGAACCCATAAAACCCCCTCCTTATGTACGCGTCTAAGGTGTTACAATTATTATTATCTAATTTAAAATATTTCACTAAATACATAACTCCAATTTTTTTTTTGTACATATTTCTTACTGATAAAACACTTATTTGGTTTTTTTATTTCCCATGCGCGTCCTCTTCAATCTGTAATCGGTTTTTTCGTCGGTCGTGTCCCTGCTGCCGTAGCGGTGGTAACCGTCTCCCTACGCGATCTTTTCTTGGCCTCGAGCCTTGACCAGGAACGAAACCGATTGCAAAATCCTGTTTTCGTCGCTATAGGCTCCGATCTCTGCAGGATGTTTAAATGGCAAGGTCGCTATTTAAAACTTTGTTTTATTACCTCGTCACGGTAAATTTTTGACATATGTCCTACATGATATTCTAATCCCAAACCACCGCAGTGTACACGGGCCAATGTGCCAGTGATGTTCTTCGAAAACTGTACAGTTAATTTCGTACACGCAATATATTTAGCTTAATCATTACGACGGACGGCATATCCGAATTCGTTACGATTAATATATAAATACACTTGCATGACTTCAACTTTTGTCACTAAATCTTTTGAGTTTTTTCGCAAAATATAATATCACGGAGGCATACAATACCTGCAATAGCAAGGAAATGTTTTTCCTCGATTACCCACATCGGTTTACTCAGTTAAATCGATTTGTATAATGTACAGTTGTACACAAATATGTTTATTTATGTGACATAAAAAAAGGATCCCACTTGGTAAAAATATCCTTAAGCCATTATATAAAAGTTTGATGCATTTTTTCATGTTCAAAAGTGTACTGTTAGGTACTCTACTAATCTTAAAAAAAGTTCATTACTGAAACATTTCAAACAATGTCGGTCTGGCTCATGATTGGACCTCCGGCAAAATATTAACAATGGGACCCTAAACAACATAATATTGGAGTTAGATTTAATAAATACTTACTAAATTTTTTTTTTCTCGCTACGTTTGAACTCTATTACAAATATTAATTTATTTTTGTTTTTATATTTTTCCAAAGCCAATATTATCAAATTATCATTGTGTTCATGTATGTGACCGTTAACAACACTTACCTCAATTTTTATTTATGTTTGTTCGATTTTAATCAAAAAACAAAAATGTATAAACTATAGCGGTTGTACTTAGTTCTATTAAATCACGTCAACAATATTTCAAGATTAAGATAAGAATAACATAATTTTAATTTAATCCAGGAAAATAATTACTAAGATTTTTCATGATTATTTTAAGTCCCGGAGCGGATTTATGAGAAGTCCAGGAGGTAAAATGATCCACAATTAATATTTCTTGATAAAATTGACCTTTAGAAGACTTATATTTTTAAAGTGTGCCGACTATAAATTAAAGTTAAAACTAAACTGACAAATGCTCCAGTTTCAACCCCTTCTCCCAAATGATACCACTAGTTTAATTGTATAGTAAAACAAAACATCTCTATGCCAGAACCCGTGAGGATTAAAAAAAGGTAAATGTTTACAATGATAATTATGAATAAACTTAAAAAACAAATATTATATGATCATATTGTTTTTTTGTTTCAAGGAATACATTTATAATCCACTTCCAGCTCTAAAAAGTGGCCTCTTGAAATGTCTGACCTATAGTTTTCTAACTGTGGATTCACCACAGGTCGGACCCCTTTTTTAAAAATAAATCTCAGGGCCCTCGGCAAGTGCCGGATATCCGGGTGGGCCAGACCGACACTGATTTCAAAAACATATTTAATTCAAAAGTTATAAAAATGGGAAGTTTTTTAAGCCCATAATAAACATTTGTATAGTTTTATATCACCAATATTCAATTCATAGATTAAAATTATACAGGAACATTCTCAGGATCAAAATGTAGGACAGGTCCAGTTATAATTATTTTAATTTATATAAGTACACATTTTTTATTTTTTATACACTTTTCATAATATTTTTAAATTTAATTAGAAAAAATTATCATATAATATAATATAACATAATTTCTCCTATTTGACTTCTTAATAATATTTAAAGATATTAAAAAGTAAATAATAATGATGTAAAAAATATTAATAATAACTATTTGAAAAACAGGGTAAGCTCAGGCCTACCAGGCCAATCCGCTTGGCACGCCACTAACATTATACTTTAAATGCGCATTATTTTTTTTTAATACTACCAAAAAGTGTATCCAAAATATTCTATTGTTAATATAGGTGTCTCCTCTATTATTACTTTTTTCATTAAAACTATATATTTTTTTTCTGTTATTACTATTCTATATTGAAGGTTTTTGACCTGAAAAATATTTGTCCAGTTTCATCCGGTTGTTGACCAAAACTTAACCACCGGAAAATTACTGGTATCAGTTTTTTTTTATTTCATCAATATCTTTACACATCTATGTAGTTATTAATATAAAAACATTTTCATGGATACCCGTTGCTAATTTATCTTATTTTTCGCAATTAATTATATAAACAAGAGTTTATATTTATATACATATGATGCGGTACTTTATATACGTCACCTGAAAAACTTGTATGGCATGACAATTAATTTTATCGATTAAAAAAAAACTAAATATATTTTCTTAATATTTAGATGAATTTAATCTAAGGCTAACGAATAAAAATTATGAACGCATAAATGTTAAAATATGTACATGTTATAACGGAAACCCTTTGACATGAATACTTGTGCATGTACCGTTATAAAATATTTTTATAAACGAAAATACTTCTATGTCAGTTAACTGTTACGGTTAACACTATAACCAGCAGTTAAATATTTTGGGATTATCAGATTATTGGATAAATTCGTGTAGATACACGCACACATAAAGTATCGATCATACGTACTTGCGATTAATACGCTCAGCATACATAATATTACGAATATTTTGTAAACTAATTGACAGTAAAACCAAATTATTACACATGCACGACTTTGTATACTATTTAACAATTGATTTATATAATATTATGTACACTAATTACTAATATTGAATTATAACTTAACTATAAAAATACGACATTACTTTCGAAATTAAATATTTTCCCATTACGAAAAGAATGGGACAATCTAACGTTGGTAATAAAAAATGTATGTAAAAAGAATCTTCTTGTATTTTTTTAATCGAGAAAAACATGTGTAATTTATTGGAATGCTGTTTTTATAATAATAATAGTAAAAAGTAATCTAGTTTACCTAAGCAAAGCTTTGGAATGGAAACCGGACGAGGAAGAAAGTGATTGTGGAAATACACGTACCTATCACATAAAAATATAATATATTTTTATATTGAATGTTGCTTCAGGGAAATAACTCTTTAAAAACTATAAAATTCGAGATCGTAATCTTGAAATCTTGTTTTATTAATTTAATTAAACAATAAAGATAAGGAAAATCATTAAATACACATGATATAATAAATACACTATGAGCGATTAGACACACGCAATATGTTTATTGCTGTAATTTCACTCTCGATTTTATAGGGAAAATATTAAATATATCGCACCCCGGCAAGAACAGTGACACAACTCAAAAATGCAGTATTTGAGAAAAAAAAAATAAAAAAAAACTACAAAACTCGTATTGAAATAGTATAAGCTCCTTTAAAATTTCAAGTAGTTATTTACTTATATTATAAGCAAAATGAAACTTGTTGCAAAGAAAAATTAAATCAAAAATTATTACAGCTAACAAAATAAATTTAACGAAGAGAAACTAATATGCTAAAATGAACATTTCGGATTTCCTCCATTAGTTTAATAATACTTGTCTAACCCTATAAAACTTTCATTAAAAATTAAAAATATTTAATATAATATATGTATATTTAAATATAATAATATGATTTTAATTGGTTTCGGTTGGATCATAAGTGGGCCAAAAAAGAAAAAAGAAAGAAAAAAGCGTAGTTCAATAGACGCGTATTGAGGACACAATTGATATATATATATATATATACAATGTTAAGTTGAATGAATATGTTATTGCTACGATCCTACATGATATATATTTTATATAATGCGTGTACTCTGGTTATTAAAACTCGTAACCCTAACCTACCTACGTTTTGTCCTGATTATAACCATACACACAAAATATAACATGAATGTATAATATTATTAATACGCGTGCATTGCATTTCCGTGTAACTGGTTTTTGTAGCACTTTAGTAAACCAATGTTTATGTACCTGCTATTTTTAGCAGTCTTTCAGTGTTCGAATTGAGTATATTACATATTTCAACGCACTTACGTGTTACTTTAATATTGAAAATGTTTTATACAATTTTTTTTTTTTTTTGAAAAGCAATGGAAAATAAGAAAACACAATAAATAATAGTGACTAAACACAAATCAGCTTGTTAATTTTGGAAAAGAAATATTTATATTATTTTTGATTAAATTATTTACACGTTAAATTATATACGTTCCACTAATGGCTATTTTCTTTTATACGTCACGTGAAAACAATTAAAATAAATAATCGTAATGAATAACGCAATGAAAAGCACAATATAATATAAATGTACTATATTCGAACATTCCGTATATATTCAATGTTGTAATATGTATAATTAAAAATCTAATCAACAGGGATCCCCATACATTCATTATAAGTATTTTTTTTTTTTTAATGAAACGCGTTGTCTCCAAATAACAGTACTCTGGGGCAAATATGGTGTGCAAAGTGAAATTAAAATTACTCCTAAACGTTGTTTGTCCTATTTTATTATGCTAACGAGTTCTTCTATTGTCATCGCTCATCAGTACTTTGTGTTCAAAAAGAAAGTTGTGACCACATATTTTATTATTAGTACGCACGGCACATATACTCGAATGTGTGTTCTTTATATGGTCAAGGTCATGCGTGATTGACCGTCGTGTTTATTTCAATGTTTTGATATCGGATTAAAGAAGAAAAATATCATAAACATTACTCGATATCCCTTTTAAAACCAGTTTGTCCGTCTTTAAAGAATTTATATTGTTCTTATTTCAGGTGCAAATGGAGTCGCTGAAGTTATGTGGCATCGTAATAATTGTATGTGTTGCGTGTTCGGCCAGCCAGACGAGTCAGGAGCATGCTGCCGTCACTGCAACTATAGAAGAAGTACCACAAAGACCCATGACCTTAAAAAATGGATACCACCCGGGGTTATTTCCATTTAACAAGGGTGAACCGTTTGTGGTAGACCCTAACATGGGTTCTATTGATTTTAACACGAAACCCCCGAACCAGAGATCTGACGAATATTACGATTACGATACCAAGTTGGAAGAGGTGCCATACGATTACAAAGGTGATCCGATAGACAGAAAAGACGTAGTAGAACCCAATTTACCCAGGCCCAACGATATCAAACCAAACAACAATAAAAACAAGCAGACGGACATCTATCAGTTTTTAAACTTACCCGTGAAGTACAGCTCAAGTGATAAATTTCCTTTGATGTCCAGCTCTTATGCCAACACAAAAGTTCAAGGATCAGGCTCGTCTTCACTCAGTAATCACAAGATGCCACAAACTTCAACTTCTACAACGGTGCCAACAAACTTGTGGTACAATTCTATTAAGACTACAGTCAAACCAACAACAATTACCCGGCCTACGACTACTCCCGCAACAACCACGACCACAGCAACAACAACAACCACAACTACAACCACAGCCCCACCACAAGAATATGAAGAAGAATCGAATTATGATTACGATTATTTTCATCTACAAGAATCAGCTTCGTCTGAATCCACCGTAGTTACCACTTCCACCACGAATAATCCAACAACGACTGTTCACCACAGCTCACCATCTTTCATCACACCTGAACCGACTACGACTACGTCTACAACTACTACCCCAGTCTCTTCGACAACATCAACAACAACGGAAAAACCATACAGCACTTCAGTAGTTTTAAACAAAACATCAGGTATAACAACTACTTCTAGACCAGAAATTGATTCTAAACTAGATGGAACATCATTCGCTGATTACGACACTATTAAGTCAACGGTGAAAGAACACCAGGAGTATAGCCAAAATTTCAAACCTTTACCTGGAAACTACCAATTTGACGATAAAAAATATCCATTAATTACTAACAGTAAAGTACCAATGACTTTTACTGCTCACGTTTCATCTGGCATATCACTGAACCAAAAAGAACACTTATCAAATATCAAACCTCCAGTCCCAGTTTCAGAATCAGCATATTCATCTAGACCTTTGCAGCCAGATTCAAATAAACCACACGATTCAAATAAACCTCAGGAACCGAAGTACGACAATTCAAGATTGACACCGAGCATCCAACCTGATACATCAATAAGCTCGCCAGAGTCATCGACCTATTTAAAACCCAAACCGTCAAGACCGAACAGCAATGATCAATTTGAGACAGTTTACTACAAAATTAGACCGGAAACTTACCCACAACAATTTACGAGTACCATCTCAAGCCGGCCGGTGAATCCATCAACTCAAAGTAGACCTTATCAACCAGAATTGCCTTTGGTAAAAACTTCTCACATAGATATAAATAGAAAACCTTTAAATAGTGAACTTCAAATATCTCAAGGACGGCCACAATCTTATCCAGTGCAGCCAGAAGTGTACATGAAAAACAAACCTCAGTACACCCCACCACAAAGCCAGCCTGATACATCAAAATTTAAACCTCCCAAGCACGTAATAAACCATTTTATAAAAACTCAACCGAATGAAGACAACAAAAGTTATGCTCTACAAACTTCTTTTTCGATCGGTATGGATGGAGAACGGACAGAAACACGTCCACAAGGTATTGGTCAAGTATTAATGGTCGAAGACAGTTCTACCGAAACCGTTGTTAATCAAACTATACCGGTAAGACCTAAGTCAACTACATCAATTCCACTGGTTCCTCCACCAAGACCTGTTCAAAAACAACAACCATATCCAAGACCACCGTGGGAAAACATACAAAAACCGCCCTCATATTATCCATCTCCAAAACGCGATAGCGTACCACCGCCTCAAAGACAAAATTTGCCCAATATTTTACCTCAGTTCAGACCAAATGCTAAGGTTGATACAGCACCAATGGTACCTCAGTCGCATTCTGCAACTATTGAAAGGGTTCAAATTCCGACGGATCATTTAAGGCCTCCACCTCTTCCCAAACCTCAATTCTTAAAAATAGATAGAACTGATGAAAATATCGATGAAGAAATATTAGATATTCCTGAAAAAGAAACGAGAATCTTACAGAGAATTGGACCGCAACCTGCAAAAGTAACTACTTTACAAATGATTCAACATGGCGCCCCGGTGAATACAAAAGTACGAGATGACAATAAAGAAAATCCCGTGCATATTATTTATGCAGCGAACTCCCCCCCAAAACAATCTGAAAAGTTAGTAGATGACTCTGTATTACTTGACATAAAAGATAGATCAGATGTTCCAATACTAAAAACTAAAACTATTATTAACAAACCCATAAAAACCGACTTTCCATATCAAATTGTAAAACCCGATGAAAATCAAAATACATCTGCATTGGAATACAATGCATACAGTCCAACAAAATCAGATTATATTAAACCAAATAATGAACAAGAATTAGTGCCTAACCTTCAAGATTACGTTCCAATAGCAACCCGTGATTCAACTTCAAACATCGCGATCCCGCAAAAACTAATTTCAGCTACATTAAAAACATCAGAAGATAATAATCATAAGTCAGTGGATGAAGGTCACAAGCCGTTGCTACAAAATTTTCAAATACCTTTCCAACCAAGTTTAAAATTACCAGAAAATAGTAATGGCTGGTCAGTAGTGAGAAAATCTCAAACTGATAATGCTTCCGAAAGAATAGATGAAACTGGTGATGCGATTGCATCCACAGAAAAGTTTGATCCAGATAATTTTAAACCACAACTTGTTGGAGGTTTTATGCCAATAAGCTCTCCTGTAGAAGAAACCAAAGAAAAAAAAACAGAACCATCTGAGAGAGCGAAATGATCTATAAGAGTTTAAAAATATTCATAATAATATTACACATTCAATAAAAAAAAAGTTAATTATTAAGATCAAGATTAATCTTCTATAATATCATAAATGCATAAATTGATCACATTAAAGTGAACTATCTCATTTACTTATGTATATAATGTATAGATAAAATAAAGACGTAAGGGAAAATAAAAATATAAAACTTAATAACGTGCAATTAAAAAAGGATATAAGTAAACGCAATGGCATATAATTACATATAGATATTATTTATTTAGATACATTTTATATAACTCTAACTATGATAACTTTTTTTATTAATAACATTACTAATAGATATTATTCCTAAACATTGTAAAAAATGTATATATATATTTTTTTTACTAATATTGTTTGTTATAGATCCTAAATAAAAAATATTGGAACCAAGCTCAATAGTTATACTAATTTTTGTTTAATATAATTTATTATTAGCAATATTATATTAAATAGTGATGTATTTACCTACAAATTAATTTATTATATATAAGAATAATTTTATAAATTGTATGCATATTGTTTTATATTTATTTTAATATAACAGCAAGAAATAAAATTCTTTGAAATATGTATCGAAATATGTATAATGTATTGTTAAAATCATATTTTATAAAATAAAAACAACATGTATATTTACACGTTATAAGTAATAATTTGAAAGAAATCCAAAAATTAGATTATTATTACGATTTTTTTATTTTTTATTAATACTATTGATGTATTGATTAAACATACCAAAAATATTACCAAAATAAGAAACAATTATGATTTTTGTTTTAGTATTTTTTCAATTAAAAGGATCATGTCGATAAATTTACCAGTATTAAGATAAATTATGAAAAATAGATTAAAATGGTTCAAGTATGTTAGGAAAAACAAAGATAAATTAAAATAGGTAAATTTTATTAAAAACGTTCTAAGCAATAGAGCTATGGAAGTTGATAACAAACAAAAAATAATAGAAAACGAGGTGGTCCCTAAAATATTGATAAAATATTTCTTAATTTATCAATGTTTTCAATAAGTTTAAGTCTGAAAGCCCCACGAGGGCCTTTTGATTTTAGTATAATCACATTCTTTAATCACAATACTGATAATAATAATAGAATAATATTTAATAGATACCTCCTCCTAAAAATTCAATTATACCTTTATTCTCCCTCAGTGGCGTAGCCAGAAACCTCACAAGGGGGGGCACCAAATTTAATATACTTATATGAATTGACAAATTTAAATTCGATTGCAAATCTTGGTAAATTCGTAATAACAAAATTGCATATTTTAATTCATCACAGTATCACATAACAAAAATAACAGATAACAACAGTCTCATTTTTGTATATCGTGATATAAATTTTAAGCTAACAGTTTTATCAAATATCGTGATTACTGATTATACCACGATTATACATAGTAATCACCAGGGTTGGGATATTATAGCACTTAAAATTGCATAAATATGTGCTATAATATTACCTTAAAAATCGCTAAATAAGCTCTAAAAGTATGCAATAAAAACAACAACAAAAAAAGGAAATTTATTATTTAATAATTTTATAGGAGCACACGAGATGAATGTGGACTCTATAAAGCGAATTCTACACTCGTTCGTTGATAATCGGCTATTAGTAGATTTAGTAGAAATCGACAAAAAAACCAACAAAATCAGCGTATAACGAAAATTAAAACCAAATAACTAAAACAAAATTATTGTATTATATTATACCTACCTATATATTATTGCTGTAATAGTACAAAGTTGTATCAACGTAATCGGTCTATTTACTAAATCTATACATTTATAATTTAATTTAAAATTAAAATTTTGAATCTTGAAAATTTGATTAACAAAAAACAAAAAACATGTTTACAAAATGCAATTTCATTAAATAAGCCCGATTTTGATTAAAACACAGGTAAAAGGCAAAAAAGTCTCAAAAAATCCAAAAAAGCATTATAAACTAAAAAACGCAAAATATGCAAAAAAAAAAAGTAAAATAAAATTTTTTATTTGAGTTCTCTGTATCATGAAACACATTTTTAGCTTACTCTGCTATATTTTAAGCATATCATAATATGCAAATGCTATAAAATCCCAACCTTGGTAATTAATAATCAGTCTTAATCGTGGTCATAATTCACAACCATAACGACAGTGTAGTAAGTTGTTGAAAACCTGTGTTAATATTATCATTAATTATTAAAAATATATTTATAAATATATTATTTTCATTATTATTAAAATAAATATACAATAATATAAATAATACATTTATTATATTTGGAAAGACAATAGGGGGATTTAAATACCCACACCCCGTTTACGCCACTGCCTTTTCGATGTCCGTTAAAATAAAACTGCGAGTCGGACTGTGACAAATTCTGTCCGTCGTTAGTTTCTATTTTAATTTTTTTTTCTGTTAAAAAAATTAGTTATCTTTGATATTCTTTTATTTTTTTTGCATATTTATAAATTCGGTTGTTAATTTATACAAATATTAATATATTTTCACAAGTAGATAATTAAGTTATAAATAATGCATTGACAAGTAAAAGAATGCGTTATTGACAACTACACGACTAGACTAGGATCAGACTATGCGTTGCATCCCCTATCGGCAATTAACTAATTAAACAGCAACTGAGCAACGTATGCGATATTAACGTATTGTCCGAATGTTTCTAGAGAAACGGTCTAGTCTAGATACGATAATGCTTTATCGATTTTCCTTTTGCTATTTATATTTTACTTGGTATCGCTAAACAATTTGTATTTACAATTTACTATTTTATTTAGGTTTTCATATCAAATCATTAATTATACATTATATAGTATAATACAAGTATTGAGTAGTATTGTGTTATACTATATGTACTACAAGGTACAAGGGGGGGGAGGGGCAGGCCCCCCTCAATACTCCACTGCTCTCCCTCTAGATTCAATTGTTCATGATTGCCTTATTTACATACACATTTAGTAAAAGACAGAATGAGAATGATAAGTTATATTTTATTATTTAAATGTAAGCTAATAAGAATTTAATTGAAACAATAATTGGTAACATAAAATTTACAAATATATATTAAATAATTTTCAAATAAATTAATATAATACTGGTATAAAAATTAAGATTCAATAAATAAATATCTAACATTTAAGCCAAAAAATTTAATTTAATTTATGTAATTAGATGATATTGAATGCTTTACATGGAAATAAAATTAATTTTTTTCAAATAAACATAAATCTAATTTCAAAGTAATAACACCAGTTGGCACTTCTCTTAATTGTAAATGCTTAGTAAGAGGTCCTCTGCTATTTTTAGTTGATTGAATTATCTCTGATACACGAATTTCAGATCGTCCCAAAAATTCTAAAAGTATAATTTAATCTTAATAAAAAAAAAAAATTCATAAATTATACCCTAAACATAATATTATCAAAAATTATTTTAAAAAAAAAATGTAATTCAATGAAAAATGTATTTATTACCATCAGGAGAATAGTGTCCTTGATTAAACACAGTTACACAAAGAATATCATCTTGAATATTCTTGACAAGGAACTGCATTGATGAATCCCACTTAGGATCAGGAGACTCAATTATTTGTGTACATTGTTTTCGAGATCCCATACTAACTTCACAAAATGTTGCTCTTTTACCTATTTGTTTATAAAGAATTATTAAAATTAACAAAACATTTTTAAATACATGAACAATTATTTGAATTTAATTAAACTACCTATATTATTTAATTTATAGTAAAAATTACCAAGTTTTGGAGCTTGAAGTTTTTTACCATCCATAACAAACACCAAAACTCTGCCACAAGCACCAAAATCTGCTTTTTCTTTAACAAGCACATTTTCATAAAAATATTAATAAAATTAAATAAATAAATATTAAATAGTAATATACTTGATTCTAATAATTGTTTTTGATTTTTTTCACTAGCAGTTAAAATTTTTTTAGCTTCATTTAATGTTTTTAACCACAAATTTCTTTCATTAATACTCGGAGCTGATAACAGTATAGGTACATTGTCATAATCAATTCTAAATTCAACACTGTCAGTTACTGAATCACCAATATTTAACAGTATTAATAAAAATGGCTAAATATTTACAAATAAATATTTTTAGTTAATTTATTAGACAACTATAAAAATGAATAACTTACTTGTTTATAAATTTTAAATGAATCACCAGCAAATTTATCAAATGAAAAAGATTGTCCACATAAAATTGCTGGTTTCACTGGTTCAACAAGAAGAAACATATCATTCATCAAGAATCCAACAAGTTCTTTACCACTTTTAGTCTTGGATAAAGATCCAAAATGTAGAAATTTTCTGGAGCCCAATGAATTGGTTAATGAGTTAAATATTAACCTTTCACTTAATCCTTCACTATTTACATGTGTCTGTAACCATTCTAAACGATCAGAATTTTCTTTTTCCCTAACACCTTCGTTTACCTTTAAATCAAAATAAAATATAAATATTGAATAAAAAAATTTTGTTCTTTTTAAAATATAAATATTACTCTGAGACATATTTCTTCTGCTTTGGCATGCGCCTCTTGCAAGTGGAAGTGATCTGGATGAGATGGTGGAGTATGTTCTAAAATCTAAAATAAAGAGTTGGTATAAAATAGCACAGTTACACTCACAAATATTTTATACATACTTTTTGGACTAGAAGAGGATATTTAGTGATCCGTTGCATAGGTTTAATGAGAAATGAACTCAAGGGTAGTCCTTTAATTCGAGTATTACTTTGGCAACGTTTTGTAACTTCACAAAATGCTGGATTAGTTTCAGTAAATTTTTGTAAAGTAATCGCAGCATTTAATTGACAACTACAAAATCGCACATATCGAGTCATCCTTGGAAACTAAAATAAGAATAAATAAGTAAATTATATCATAATATATTATAATTCATATAATTATATCTTACATGTTCACATAATATATCACCAACTATTCGTACTATACCAGCAGGACTCATATCTCTACGGACTCGAAGTGATCTATAAAATATTTTTAATAAAAATTAATGGATACTAAAGTAGATGGTACATAAAAATGGCTTTAAAAAAATTATTCTCATAAAACAAATACATTTAGTTTATAAAATTCAATAATATAGAGTCAAGTTGTTCACCAAATTTTACAAATTAAAGTTACTAATAATCTAAAAATAAAAACAGCATAATAAAATGTAAAAATTAATATAAACATACGTTAAAAACATTTGATTACACTCAATAATTTCCTCCCAGTTTATAAAAATTTTACGGATATCTGTAGTAGAAAGAACTCCACTTTCATATAATGGCTTTTCAAACACCTGAACAAAATATATACATTACATTTAATTAGACATTAATACTTAAATAAGTTTATAATTAAAAAATATTTTTAAATTTATAACAATCAGACAAATATTTATAGTAAAATTATTAAATACTATAATTTTATAGATGTAAAATAATTACTACATTTTATAATTCCAAAAGAAAAAAATATTGGTATATTTTAGGTTGTTTATTATTTTACAATTATTATTAGTTAATAATTATATTTTGATTAAATATGAACGAATCATAGTGGAATTTCTCAATTTATTTTGGGACATTTATGTAAAATACAACTTTTTATTTTTTACGTTAAGTCAACAAAATGTATACAAATTTTATAATTGTTATTATTATTATAATAGTTTTATAGTATTACTCTTATAAAGTTTAACTGAAATAAGTTTTGAAGTTTTTCACTTTATTTTAATATTAAAACGTATTTATAATAACTGGAAGTAAATTTAAAGTAGGTTATTGGGAATATTGTTAACAATCTAAATAATAGTTAATGACAATTTAATAAGTTAACACTATAAAAATATCATGGTCGTTGTTTTGTGTAGATGGCAGTGTATAATATAAAATGAGAAAATATTTTTAAGATGAAACTTATAGATAATAAAAGGTTATAGGTAATAAAAGATAATTATAAGAATGATAATAATTATCATCAGATATATTTCTTTTTTAAACAATGAATCTTAAATATTTTTAAATTAAAATTTTCAGTTAATTATGTATTTTTAAGGAAAAAATAGATTGATCAAAAATGAATGTTATGTAATTTTAGGAAATCAATAAAAATAATTATTAATCATACATATATATATATATATACATAGAACAAATGATAAATATTTAGAATACAACTAGTAAATACAAATTAAAAATAACCATACTTCATGTACAGCAGTCATGTCTTCTATGTAAGCCTGTTCTGTAGTAATCAATTCATGAATATGTTGTTGACGTTTTCTTTCTTCTTTATTCAATTTTACTTTAATCGTCACTTCAGCTACATGGTTATAAATTATAATACAATAGAAATTATGAATAATTTTCATAAGAAATCAACAGCGCTGTCGTTAGCGGGCAAACAACTTAAGCAATTGCCTTGAGCCTTACACTAAAAATAAATTTAAGGGGCCGCAATATGTCAAGTTAGAATAGTTAAATATATTTAGACGCAAGGAAATTGTACTAATTTTATCTAGGACTTCACAAAAACTTGCTACAACATTGAATATCATACTCCAATAGTATCAATTAATCTGATAAAATTGTTATTTATTTTTTCAACATAAGAAATTATACACAAAATGGTATAACATTTTTTAAAACTAATTAATAAGATGAGAAATCTATTTTATAAAAAATATGACAAAATGTTATTGATAGGGCAAAGGACTTGTAGCTCTAAAAAATCACTAAATATGCACTTAAATATACAAAATATGCATTAAAAATGAATTTTTTTGTAGGTACTTATTATAATAAATAAATTTTATTTACAACTTTATTTAACAACTTACAAGTTAAAATTAATTAATTGGGTTTATTTTATGAGTTTTCTTATCTGGATACTTACTTTAGGCATTTTTTATAATAAATAGTAAATAGAACGTGTTTGGACCGTCAACCGTTGAAAAACACAGCGATTACTGAAGTATGAATATGTTCTATATCGGCGACAGACGTCCCCGTGGCCCGTATCAATATTTTGTATATTAAACAATATTATCTCATCTGTCTATAAATAAAATAACCCGACACAACAATCCAATCGACTAATATCGAGACGTGTTTTTAGAAAAACCATAATGGGTCTGGGAAAAGTCAAAAACCATATTAATATTATGATAAAAATTTAAAATAATTTTAAATTCAACGTTATTTTGTTTGTATAAATAAATAAAAACGTTGACGAAAAAAATAATGATAAAATAATAAATTATTTAAAATATGCATTTATAAACACAATAAAATTTCAAAACTAGCATTGTGGAAGCATGAAACGTAATTACTTTGCACTCTGCTATTTTTATGAATGTGCAAAAAAAAATATGTAAATGCTACAAGTCATCTGCTCTAGTTATTGATATTTCAAAGAAATTATTTAATTATTTAAAAAAAATATATTTTCAAAATTTAATCTAAACGATAATTTTTATTTATTTGTCTTAAATAATCTCAAATAATAATTTATAAAAAATATTTTTATTTTTAAATTTATTTATTTCCATAAAAATGTTTAGTTATAAATTATACTTATAAAATAAATCAATCAATTGTATTATTAGATTATTATAAAGTTTAATAAATAATTCCTTAAGTGGTAATTTAAATGATTAATTGCTAGTAATCAATTATTAAAAATTATATATATTAAATTAAGAAAGACTTTTAATACAAAAAATTATGATTTATATGAATTTTCCTACTAATAAAAATGTATAATAAATTCATAAGAAAATAGAAAGAATATTCGGATTAAGATGGTAAGTAAAGAAGAAAATATATACATTGAAATATATGAGGTATATTATTGTTGTATATATTATTGTGAGTAGAATATAATATTTTGAATTTGATAATAGAATGAATTAAATCTAAGTTGACCACACAATATTAACTTATTATAATGAACTCCTCTAAATATTATAATATGATATAATAAATATAAGTTAGTAATAATTTAAAATATTGAAATAATAACTAACTACAAATCATGCAAATTTAACAATAGATAAGAATTATTAATAAACAAAATACAATAACAGTAAAAGTTATGATTAACAATTATAGAATTATGATTATGTAGAAAAAACTTAATTTTGTTCATATATTTAAGTAGTTAAGTATATAGTAACATTGAAATACACAGTAATAAATATCAGTTAATGAGATTCGGAACAAAAAATAATGATAATAAATAAAAATTCACACAATGTTGCATTTATATCTAAAACAAATACTTAAAAATAAAATGGAGGGAAAATATTGCACTTAAGTAAATCATAAGGTAAAATAATTCTATTAACATAATTGTGTATTTTTAATGCTATTTTATAAATAAAATTATTACATTTTAAGTGAAAATGGAAATAATATTTGGTAAATCCTAATCAAGTTACATTTTACATAATTTTTTTCTAAAAATGGTTGATCCATTAAAAACAATTGATTTGATGGGCGATTATAAATCAACAGCTAAATATAATAATACAAATCTTGTTTATGATTAAAACTAATCTCTGCAGTTTTATAATTTAAAAAAGCATTAAACTTACTTACTAATCAGGCTTTAAAGAAAAAAAAAAAATAAATGATTTAATTTTAAATAATCATACTATAATATTCTGTAGTTCATCCGCCTGATGGATCGTTAGCCAGTGAACAAATGACTATAACAAACTCCTACAAAAAAAAAAACAAAACAAAAACAAAAGAGACAGAATATAGAAGATGTTAGTTTAAGTTATATCTTATTTTTTAATAATAACTTATAACGTACTAACTATTTAGAAGAGTTCATTATTATTTTGTGAACCCATAACAATATAAATACAAATATATTTAATAAGAAGATTTATAACATTTTTTAGTAATTTTATAATACATTATTTTTAAAATAAATTTTAACATATAAAATTACACTATAATTAGTTGAAACTTAAACTTTTTATAAGAGGAAAATTCATGAAACCAAGTTATTATCTACTGTTTTTTACTATTAATATTAATTTATTTCACTTACATAGAGGTGCCACGTAATTACTTGGAAATAATCCAGTCTTTCCATTTAATTCTCCTCTCCACCAAGCTTGCTCATCTTTTGACACCAATGTAATAATCTCATCTTTCTGGAATGTTAATTCATCATTATGAACAGCATTAAAGGGAAACAAAGCTATAACTTTTTCTGGAAATAATATTTTAATTATTTTATTGTTAAACAAAAGTTATTAATTGTTGCATTACCTATAGAATTGTTTGATGGGGTTGTTGTAGCAGTAACAGGCACTGATGGTTGATTACTTTTAGCAGCAGGTGAATTTGCTCTTCCAGCATTACCAAGCGGTTTTACATAAGATGCTGGAAACCAACCAATTTGACGTTTTTGGCCTTTTGCCTGTCATTTAATAGTAATAAATAACTATGTACATTTTAATTACAATTTTAATTTATTTACTTGTAATTCTCCTTCCCACCAACCAGTGGTAGTCTTCTTTCTGATTTTTACTAATTGTCCACGTTGTAAGCTTAACTGTTCTGTACTAGTAGCTGTGTATGGAGCAATCACAGTTGCTACTTCTGCTTTTTTTGTTCCTTTAGATACCTAAAGAAACATATTTAATTAATTAAATTTAATAACATTTTAAAAATACACATTTTATACGCATATTAAAATTATATCATGCAAACACACACTGAAAGCATAGTTTTACCTTGTCGTCATTTTCACTATCTTCATTTGCACTGCTTTCTCTCTGACGACATGAAACACAAGCCAGAAGCAACAACAAACAATCAATTAAAATACACAACAAGCGTAGAATAATAAGGAAAATATGATAAAAGGAGAAATGTGTCATTAAAAATAAATTAGTGAATAAATAAGTCAAGCATTTAGTATAAAGTATTATGAAACATAATATAAAATAAATAAAATCATACCTTTGTTGATGCTAGATCAGGAGTAACAGATCTACTACAAGACTTTTGAGGTTCTAGCTGAATAGGAGTAGTCAATGGAGATGATGCAACAGATGTTTCTGACTTAATTGAAGAGGCAGTTTCAAAAGGAGGATTTTTATTTATAGTAGTTCCTTTAGGCTGTGTAGAGTATTCAAATTAAAATATTTTTTTTTTTAAGAAGTCTAAATACAGTGACTAAACATTAAAACTGATAAACTGAAGAATATAAAATTGTATTTTTAAACTGGCATAACTTTGTCTAATATCAGTAGAAAAAATAAAAGAATGACGTCATTAATTATATTAAAAATATATATTTTAAGTAGTGTTCCTATTATATTTAAATCATGTTTTTTATTTTTTGGTTAAATTAAAATTAAATGTACATGAAAAATATATTCATTAAATTTTAGATTTTACTTACACCAAAAAAAGACATATTAGTTAATTAACTACACTATAAAATAAAAATATTAATTTTAATTTAACATCGATCAACAAATTAAGTCACATTTTTAAGATAATAGATTTTTTTGATTTTTGAATAGAAACAATTTCAGTTTTAAATAATTCACTGTACTTAAGTTTTAAAATCAAGGTAACACAAATACATTTTACCTGAGGATCAAGATATTGTACGTAGTTAGAAGGAAATATTCCAGATCTATCACCTATTGTTCCTGTCCACCAATCACCATCTTTTTTTGTTACTAAAACGACTTCATCCTGATTCATATTTAAATCTCCTGGTTCCACAGACTCATATGGGTAGAGAACAATGTAGTACTCTAAATATAATAATTTTATTTTTATTTTTTATTTTAAAAATATTGTAAATACAATTTATCTTTTATAAGTATACTAGAATGTATGTAATTCAATATTAATACATTTAAGATAAATCAAATTAAAATCATTAGGACTTGAATTTCATTCAATTATACAAAGTATATATAAATACACTTGGTGAGATCATTCATTTAATGAAAAGTTGTGCATATTAAATTGGCCAATAACTTCGTGAAATAAAAAAAAAAAATGTTATTTTCATCCAAAAACTACTTAATACAACTTTTCATTAAAATATTATGATGGTAATTTTACATTTGTACTTATTATCCAAAATAAATAGGTATCCTATTATAAATTTTATAGGATTTATGACTTTATATTTCTATCAGTTGATTTTGTTTATATATTATTTTAAATAATATAATCTGCATGTATACTAGTGTAGTGGTGTAATTACACTTTTTAGAAAAAATCAGTATGTTTTATCATCTTGTGTGTGAAAATTTAGTATAACTTTGAAATGAAATTTGATCAAAAAATATTACTTTATAAATAACTGAATATTTATTATGAAAAAAAAAAACCAGGATAAAGCCTATATAGTTGTGAGGAAATCAAAGGATTTATCCAAGAAATAAACAATAGTAAAACAATAATAGTACCAAAAGTTGATAGAGAATCTTAAGATCTTAAAAATATGAACTATGTTATCATGAACCAAAAAAAAAAAAAAAAATTGATAGAAACTGAACATGGATTATTAAAAAGAGGGTTGGATCAAGTAATTTGCAGATCAAGGATATTTTAGTTGTATGTGTAAAACAAAATATATTTATATATGTTTTTTTTTTTTAAATCAAAGTTAAAATGTAATAGCCCTTGTTTGATCCATGTCCAAATAAATCATTTTTAAAAACATTAATATATAAATATTCTATTTTGTTTTTGTAAATAATTTGATTAAAAATTAAAATTAGGTTGTTAATAATAGTTTTAATGTGAAAAATAAAATTTTTATTTTTAATGCATGAAGTTATTGGTCAGTTGATGAAAAATATTATGCAATGTGAAAACTTAGAGTCCATTTCATGAAAGTTAAGCAGTTAATGAAATTATTTTATGTTTTACAAAGTGTAAAATAATAATTTCTCCGTGAAAAATCCATTTTATGAAATGGATAACTTAACATGAAATGAATAAGTTAATTGAGTAAATACAATATATATATATAATAAATGTATTTAAAATAGAAAATTTTGTAAATATTAATACAAAATGAAAGAAAAATATAATATTGCATAATTTTAACATTAAATTGTTTAAAATGCAATGACTAACTTCTCAAAAAATATTGACTAGTTTTATGAAACATAAATCATAACCATTAAACTTAATAAAGAGTTTAGTTAGAAATTTTTACATGTATCAAGTATAAGCTAATTTCACATAAAATGTATGCAACTATTAGATTTTTTATTAAGTTAATTTGGACCTGAGAACATTTTATTTACATGCTAAACTGCTAAAAATTGATCACATTGTAAAACTAACAATAAGTATATTTACCTTGTTTATCAGTTGGAATATTTGTATCTTTGACTGCATTTTCAATAATGGTCACACAAGATTTTTGAAACCAACCAGAACGATTATCTGAAGTTTTGCCGTACCACCAATCATCCTAGAAATAGTTTTTAAAAATTGTTATAAAATATTTACATAATTAGTAGAAAAATAATTTTTATAGAGGTCAATGAATCATCTATATGATTTATAAAATTTAAAATAGTGTTGTTCTTAGTTATAATATATACAGTATAGTACTTAATAATCATATATACATACTTGATTTTCAATTACTTCAACAATATCACCAGATTTTAAAGATAAATAAGTACTGTCTTTTCCAGTCCAATCCCTTAAAGCTTGTGCAGTAATATTCACAGTTTTACCAAGTCCTAGAGTGAGTGCAGTAGAAGGATAAGTAGAATTAAAGTCTTCAGTATCAAAACCTTGTCCAATCTCATTTTCTGGTAATTCAGCGATTCCCCTATTTTAAAATATAATGATAAATATAATTCATAAAAAAAAAATATTCCTTTACTCTAACGGCTTTTGAGTAGATACAAAATTGTCTTCCAAAGGAGCTTGACGATTAGCAATTATGTCACGAATGTCATCAGTGCCATCAACTGTTTCAACATAAGATTCCGGAAACCATCCAGTCTTGTTCTTCAACTCTCCTGTTAACCAACCAGGTTCTGCATTTTGTTCTAATGGAACCATAATAATATCTCCCGGTTGGAAAGATAGTTCATCTGTGTTACGAGCTTCAAATTCATATAAAGCTCGACACTTTTTGTATGCACTTGTATCTATAAATCAAAAATACATTTAACAGAGTTTAAAATATTTTTAATATTATAAATGAATACCTAATTTAGATGTAGAAGTTTCTTCCACAAATTCAGTAGTTGATGCTGAATTCCACGCATCATCTCCCCATGACGACATTTCCTTGGCTTTATTTTTCTTCATTTCTACAACTTTTTTGGTGTTTTCCTCATAATTTGGATAAATCTTTTCACAATCTTCTATAAGCGTAGTCAACTGTATTTTTAGTTGATCAATAGTACTATTGTTATTTTCAACATCTTGTTTTTTAAGTTCAATCTGAAAAATTAAGTTTTAACATTTTTATTTAAAGTTTTAATAATTCAGTACAGAGCTTCAAATGGCAAAATAATATTAGACGGATGTTCTTTACTAATAAAAAATAATATTTTCAGCAAATTCAACATTGTACTATTTCTGTGTCCTTTTAAAATTTAAAAACTTATTTCAGAGCAATTTATTTTTTCTTTATATTTATAATTTTATGTATTAATGTAGTTTGTTTTTAAATTACAGAAACAAAAAAAAAACTTATTAAATCATCATAATGACTTTGAAAACAAAAATTTCAAATAAGTTATGCATTGAGCCCATACATACATTAAAAAAAAATGCATCATATATTTTCTTAAAAAATACATTTACGCTATCAATTTGACCACTGTAAAATATAATCTTACTTGTGCATTAAGATCATTAATTTTATCTTGTAAAGTTTTCAAGGATAATTTTTTATTTGAAATTGATAATTGAGTTCGATCTTGAGTTTCTGCAGTTTCAATACTTGAATTAGTTTTGTTCTTGGCCTCTAAACGTATTTTTTCTTGACTAACTACAATAAGACGATGATTTTGTTCTTTCAGAGTAGATTTTAAACGAGACATTTCATTCATTTGAGTGTCTCTTGTTATACGCATACTATCAATAGTAGATTTTACTCCAGTAACACTTGCTCGAGTTTCGCTGATTCTTTGTGATAAATCTTGCACTTTATCAGTCTAAAATAACAAATTTATTATTATACAAAAAAAACTATATATTTTGAAATAAAAATTTACCATAAGCTGTAAATCGATGCTCAAACTCTGATTTTTCCCTTTTAACTTTAATACCATTTCTTGTTCCTTATTTCGCTGTTGCTGAAGTTCCATACTTCTTTGTTTTTCCCATTCCAGTTGACGCTGTCTCTCCATTTCTCTTTAATTTATATTAAATAGTCAGTAAGTTATAAAATAAATACTTAACAAATTATTAACTATTTAATAGTTATTTACTTTCGAGCAGTTTCTCTTTGTTCTTGAGTTCTTTTTCTTTGCTCTTCCCTTTCTTGCTCTAGCTCTCTTTGTTTTCTCATTTGAATTTCCAATTCTTCTTGTCTTCTTTTTTCTTGTTCCAATCTTATTTTTTCTTTTCTTTCTTGTTCTTCTCTTTCTTTACGTTCTCGTTCTTCTTGTTCCTTTCTCTGTATCTCCAATAGAGTTTTACGTCGTCTTTCTAACTCTGCTTGCCCTTTCTCAAAATTTTCTTTGCGTTTATCTTCAAATGTAGTTTGGCTTATCAAACAAGAATCAGATTCAGGAGTTCCTTCACTTGGGGCAGTTAAACTATTCTGACGTTGGCGTCGAACAGATGGTGGTATAAGTTCAGGAGGTAAAGGAATACGAATTTTTTCTCCAGATTTAGCCAAATCACACAAGTACATAGCTAGGATAAACTCATCACAACATAACTGACCGTCTTTATCCATATCGGAAAGATTCCTTTAATATTCAAAACAATTTAAATATATAAACAAATTAATATGTACTTATTCTATTTACCATATTTGTGCAAGAACATTTTGTGGCAACTGAGTAGCTACCATGATTCCACGTGCTTGAACTCCTGTTAAGAAACCTGTTCTCATCCGATCAGTGGTATTAAACAACTGTGTATACTTAAGTTTAGTTTGATGCGGTACTGCCCATTCTTGGTTTCCTCTAAAATACACAAAATAACTTATAAATCATGGTAAAACATTATACACAATAAAAAGAACCAACAATTTATTAGTATAATTAACATATTAAATATTTAAAGTAAAATGTTATATTACTCTTAACTGCAAAACTTCCAGAATAGTTTCAAGTTTTCTGGTAAAATATATATTATCTAAAGTTCTTAATTTACATAATTATATTTATTAAACTTACGGAGAATCTATTGATATAGGCATTGGCATAGAAGCAATTGGAGTAGTAGTTACTAAAATAAAAAATAAAAATTAGTAAAATTAGAAATTAGCAAAAAAATTATAACCTTAGACTTACATGATGGTGCTGCAGGAGGTGCAGGTTTAGCTGGAGGGACTGGATGAGTAACCACCCCCATAGAATTTGCAAACTGGACCGGAGAAGGTTGTTTTAAAACAGGCTGACTTACAACTGGACTGACATTGGAAGCAACAACACCAATGGGAGAAGAAGCTACAGGTAATGGTGATGATACTGCAGGTAATACTGTTGTTGGGGATATAGTAGATAGTGGCAACGTCATAGGCGGTGCTATCCCAGGAGCCATTGATGGAGGACTGGTAATAAGTGGAGAAGATGCTTTAGGAACTGAATCTAAAAATATAAAAACATAATTAATTTAAATTTAATGAAATATGTTAAAATTTTAATATTACTTAAAGATTGAACAGAGTTCCACAAATTACTAGGAATAACTTTAGGTAACTCTAAACCTCTGAGTTTAAGACTAATTAATTTGCAAGCAATAGTGAATTCAATAATATTCATACAACCATCTGCATCAGTGTCAGCTAAAGCCCTAAAATTAAAATTTAAAAAAATAAGTTAAATAATAAACTAAAATATTGATATAAATATCTTTATATAATTTTACCATATTGCACCGAGTACTAGTGGAGGTAATCTGGACTGTAAAAGAAATCCTTTGGCTTGTTCCCCTGTAATAACACCACCAACTGGTTTTAATGCTTGAAAATGTTCGCAAAAACGTGTCCATTCTTGTGGGGTGACCACCCAAGGATCCATCGCACTATATTATTAATTAAATCTAGAAACAAAATTTACAATGATAATTAAATAAAACATATTTATAAACAGACTCAAAATATTTACATTTTTAGAATTATCATATTGAAATAAAATTAAGGTATCATCAGAATTAGGGTTGCGTCCTTCTATTCTAATATTAAGGTTTATTAAGTTTATCCTAATATATATATATATATTTACTATCTTTTCAAGTAATAAGTATTGTAATAATAATTTATGCAATAACTTGAACTTCATTTAAAAAAATGTAATAATACTATAGGTACAATTTAAAATGTAGTTATTATATCAATAAAAAATATTAATACTTAACACGTTCACGACCAAGGCTTAAATTTGAGTGGTCTTTAAATAAACCATCTCATAAAATAGCTTTTAATTAAACATGAACTCATTGTATCTCATAGTAATATATTTTATAATATTATTTATAAAGTATTTTCGGATATTAAAGACATGTCACATATGTGTGACATCAGGTTTTTTCAGTGGTTATCCTTTACAGAAACCTGATGTCACACATATGTGACATCATTATTTTTCTATAGAAGAATCAGTAATCACCATTGCATAATATTATAATAGGTATTTTTTTGGTGAATAAGTTTTTAGACAAAAAAATTATACGAAAATCATCTCCAATGAATTAACGCAAATATAAAATGATTCAAATATCATTACTTGTCAAGAAATCATCAGCTGGTACATCTCAAAATAAAGTCAAAATTATATTTATAAAAAACACCAAAATTAACAAATGTTAAACTTAATACAAACAACTCAACATCAATGTATAAACAAAATTTATAAAAAAATTAAACAAATTACTTCTTGTAAAATAATAAATAACAGTTAACATTATTTGAAATAAAATCAAAGCAAAATAATAATAAAATTAACAAATTAGACCATTTGTTATTAAAATCAAAAGTTATAAAATTATATTTTTACCAAACAAATTTTAAATATTTATATGACAATAAAATGTATAAAAACAAAGTTATCACGAATGAATCACCAAAGTTTAACAAAATTATAAAATAAAACAAAATTTTGGTTAAAAATAACAATGAGTTAAAGATTTTAGTTCCAAAGAACTATTATAGTAAAAAAATCTCAAAAAAAAAAATAATTACAAAACTACTTTTTAAAACAAACTAAAAATAATTTTAGTAACGTCTAATTATAAATGATAAATTTTGAAACAAGGATCAGGACATAAACCGATTGTGTTCCCTTTATCGTCCTTGCATGTATCACAAACAAAAGCAGTATTTTTTCGCAGTTTATTCTGATGACAAACTCTACATCTTTTTCTAATATTTACTTTCATAAGATTATGCGTTTTCTGTGATGTTCTATTATTAACTACACGTTGATTATATGAAATACCAATAAGATAACTTGCAATTTGCCAATTTTTAAACCAACTATATAAATCAATTCCTCAGATAACGTATAATTAAACAACGACACAAATAATATTTGTTAGGATAAACCGGAGTAAATAATTCTCTATTAAACATCATAATGACCGTGTCACACATATGTGACACCGGTCTCTCAGAACAAACACACATGTCACATATATGTGACACGTGGCCGTGAACGTGTTAATATCTAAAATCAATACCTATATAATTATAATATAAAAACATTAAATACATAAGAACACAACATTTAATTTCAAGCAGAATTAAAAGTAACAAATTATTGATCGGTATAATAAAATGATATTATTAAGTAAAGAATAGATTAGAGTGTAAATATAAATATTATTTATGGTTACTTCTATATGCTTTATTTTATTTTTATACAATTGTATGTACTTAAGCATTATTAAAAATCTTTATTTAACTAATTTTTTTCATTCAAATATTAACAGATTCATGTCCATAATTAGTATAAAATAAGAAATTTAAATTATTGCTAAAACAGGTTAATAAAATCATTAATAAATTAGATGTTGGATTTGGTAATGTGTAAATATTCCAGTTCTATTAAAACACATTTTATTTTCAGTTTTATTCAAATTTCAATAATATTTAAAGGATTAATTTTAAATACTCTTAGAATAAGAATTCTACGTATTTTCGACATGTATTAATGAAAAATGGGATTTCTTTGGAATAAAAAGCCAAAAAAAGTAGGTCGAGTAAAAATCAATATTTTTTTATTTTTTTTTTTTTCCACTTTCATTGGTACTCGTTTTAGACGTAAGTACGACAACGGTTAAATTATTAATCGTTATGATAATAATATACGACATAATAATAATACTGTGACGGAGAAAAAACGGATGATGCCAAACGCAAAACTATGTTTACCGCTGATACAGGTACTTGCGATTGGCCCCTCGACGCGCAACGATTATATGATGTACAATATTATTGTTATAATTAACGATAAAATACTGTCAAACGACCGTGAAACGGTGTCATTACTATGAGTAATCCTTACCGATGTCGGTGCTCGTACGTGTGTGTGTACCGCGGATTAATGGGTGTCGGTGTGTGCACGCGCGTGTGTACACGTCGAATGGTTAATACGTGCACGTCGCACAGTAGATTGGAGAGAACCCACTTCAGAGATAATAAAAACAAAATGTATGCTAGCTAAGAGCAGCGCGTAATAATAATTATAGTAGATTTTTTATTAAAAAAAAAAAAAAAAATTCTATTACATTTCCTCTAACACCCTCGGTTGTCTCCACTATCAGTTTCGCCGCGACGATACCACACTCGTCATTCGCCTGTCCACAATAAAAATGACTTATCATCACAGCCGCACAATAATAATACACATATTATTATACATATTTTCACACACACACAACATACATTGCTGTGTACAATAAAACGTTTTATCATCGCAGTGGTACCCAAACCTGAAAATGTTTTCCGACGACGGATATTTGGCGCGCGCGACGATGATCTCGCGAGCCGGAGCTAGTGTACTTCGCACACGAACTACGCGGCCGCCGTCGATTTGTTCCGGAACGAAACGGGAGGGTCGATCGAGGACGATTTGCTACGAAACGACGTGCAACCGACTTTTGAAACAATCTATCCGACGGTGAAAAAATCACGCGAAATCGGTCCTTTAGCTTAGACCTAAGTTCAAATTACGACTGGGTGCCCGTCGACTCCGGGCATTTAATATTAATTTTTTTGCTTTTTTTTTTTTAGTACGCACTTGTTTGTATACGCGTCAGCTGTTTACGTATATTGAACACTTGGCCTCCTTATCTTCGTTCGTCTGCACCACCACCACCACCACTACCACATTGAAGCGATAGGTCTCTATCGTTGTGGTGGCGCGACGGTGACGGAGAATCGGAAGAGAAATATAAATTTGAATTAAAAAAATTTTTCATAATTTTTATCAGCACCGTGCTCTGGTGTGTTTTTCTGTACCTCGATGATGGAGGCGATTAGAGAATTTGTTTGTGTCGCAACGATTTAATTGTGACTATGAATTATTATTACCTTCAATGCCACTAGCGTACAAGTACGTTATTATTATTATTATTATTCACGTCGTTTTATTATATTTATTGTTATTTAATTTTTTTTCTTCCCCCCATTGTAACGTTATTACTATTATTATTATTGTTATTATTATTATTTTTATTATATTCTCCTGAATGCTAGTTGTATCGTCTCCAACCAGTCAACATGAAAAAACTTTTCTCTAAAATCGACAATTCCAAAGATCCCAACTGTTTCGTTGGTAAACAGTTTGTGGTAGGCCGTACTTCTGTAACTGTAGAGGATGTGATTGCGGAAGGTAAGTTTAAATCAAATATTGATTCAAAAATATTAATTCATTACATGTAATACTTTTCACAATTTTAGGTGGTTTTGCTGTTGTTTTCCTTGTAAAAAGTAATAACAAAAAATATGCTTTGAAGCGTTTATTTGTTAATGATGAAGTAGACTTGGGAGTTGCCAAAAAAGAAATACAAATAGCTGTAAGTCAAAACTATGTTTAAATAAATTGTTAAAATATTATTTACTTTTGTTCAACAGTATTTGTTGTTAGAAGTTCTTTAGATATAATGTTTTATTAATTTTTTCTATGATATATGGGCTATTTAGAAGTTTTGCATGCTTCTACCTAACTTCTCTATACATCCCTTATCATTGCTTCATCCAATCATTTTGAATTGTTGGTATCTAAAATATTTTTCTTTATCATATTTTACTGTAGGTCTTCTCCCTTGATCATTTTTTTGTTGGAATTCTGATCAAGAAATTTCATACAAGATTTTTGCCTGCTCGCCCGACATGAATAGATCAAAATTTTTAATTTTCAGGGAAAATTTAATGTTTGGCTTATTTTTTAACATTTATCAATTTTGGATTTTCGCTTCTTATATTCTCCATTTTGATTTTGAACAAGTCTGTGTATTTTCCAGAACCTGTATTGTGAACCATGTTTCACATACCTACCAACACATTTGGTTGTAGATAAGAGATTCTCTTTATAGCATTTGATAGTTGCCTAGAGCTAAGTATCTTGTTTACGTAAAAAAAAAACTTTATTTATAATATTTACTCAAGTATTTATTAATTGGATCTTGTTATACATGCTATTTTCTATGTTTATGTTGACTCCTAAATATTTAAGCTTATCCACTTGTTTAAAGGAGTAGGGTCCATTTTTAGAGTTGCTTGATTTACTACATTTATTCATTACTAAATACTTGTTTTAATTTTTGTTAATAACAAAGTTTATTCTCTAACTATACTCTATTAGTTTTTCTGTTACCTTTATTACATTATTTTCTGTATTTCCAAAAACAAGTATGATGTCATCACAAGCATTATGTTTTTGCCATTAAATTCTATTTAATTACATACATCCTTGTTACCTTTTTCAATCGGCAAATTGAATTATCTAAAAGACATCGCATCATATTTTTCTAATCCAGATTGAACCTCAAATTGTGGTGACAGTGTCCCTTAGTATCATACTATACAGCAGGGATAGGAAACTGGCAGCCTACATACTTTTTTTTTTCTGGCTAGTGCTATATTTTCAAATCACTTCATAATATTTTATTGTTTAATCAATATTTAATTTTATAACGTTAATTGTAAAATGTAGATATTATATTTTTCTCTAGCATTGAACTCCAGCTAAATCATAATAATATATATATATCAGTATAGCTAACATAGCTATAGGTATTAAGCACTTATTTTATTGTACTGATTCAGTTTTAAAATTTAATTGTTTAAAGTAAAAGCTAATGGTCTATTTCAATGATCTTTTTTCATTTTTTTACCATAGCCTGTCAGATTTTAAAGTTCTAAAAATTTGCCCTCTTGTTACTTTGAGTTCCCCATCCTTGGTATGTATGTATGTGTTTAAATTACATATTTCTATCTAGCTTTTCTGATATTTCAAAATTGCTTAGAGCATGTTGTCTATTGGTATTGTTGTAAGCTTATTTAAAATCTACACAAATTAAGAACAGAACCTTATCATATTTGTAATAATTTTACATTATTTGCCAGATAGTAAAAATATGGTTTATTATTGACTTTCTTCTTGTAAAATGAGATTTAATGTTATTCATAATATATATTATTAAAATGTTATATTTCTAATGTAATTATATTTCTATTACTTTCAAAGTAGTTTAAATGGTCATAAAAATATTTTTGGTTTTATTGACTCAAATATAACACGCCATAATAATAATAATAATAATAATAATAATTTATTATTATTATTATTAAAAATATCTTAAAATTGCACTAAAAAGATGCCAAAAGTGCTATGAAAATGTATTAAAATTGCAGTATAAATATGTTAAAATTGCAATGAAATACATTAAAATTACATAGTAAAATCATATCAAATATATAATCATTAATTACTTACTTAATTAAATAATATTATGGACATTTATATAATATTTACAAAATATATCATTTTTCTGAATTAAAATTTATAATTATATACATCTCTAAATTGTATTCTTGAAAATTGTATTGTCTGTAATATATAAATAATAAATTGTCATAATATATATTATTAAAATGTTATATTTCTATTACTTTCAGAGTAGTTTAAATGGTCATAAAAATATTGTTGGTTTTATTGACTCAAATATAACACGCCATAATAATGGCGTTCATGAGGTACTAATGTTGATGCCTTACTGTCCATCTAATGTTTTAACTCTTATGAACAACAGGTAATAATAATAATTTTTACTAAATTTATTATATTATAGTTATTCCTATAAAGAACTTAATATTTTTCATAATTTTTATATCAATTGGTTACCATCATTCATTGCAAGTTTTTTTTCTGTACAATTTATTTTTATGCATTAAAAAATAATATAAGACATGAGTATCCCCAGGGGTGACAAGACAAGGCACTTCCCCCCTTAAAATTTTAAATTTGTTTTCTAAAGCATTATCTGTAATGCACCAATTTAGTAAACATAGATTACTTTAACATATATATTACATATAGAAGAAAACTATCTTTAATAATAATTGGATTATTTTATCTTATCATATCTAATCTTATATTTGATGAAAAAAAATAATATATAAATAAAATTTAAGTATAAAATAAAATGTATAAAAAAAATATTCATTTATTTTTTAAATTAATTTTGCTACCACCCCTCTAAAAAAATGTCTACGAACGCCTTTGATAGCAAATACAGTTGTGCCGACATTGTTAATATGTTTCATACCTAAATAAATATCTACCACTACAAAAATATACTATTTTGTGGAACAAATTTTCAAATACATAATTTATATTATTTTAATTTTAATTTATTTTAATTTAGGCTACAATCTGGCTTCACAGAAATTGAAATCCTTCAAATATTTTGTGATACTTGTGAAGCAGTTAGTCGCTTGCATCATTCACAAACACCTATAATACACAGAGATTTAAAAATTGAAAATATTTTAGTTAGTGAAAATGGTCAATATTTATTGTGTGATTTTGGTTCAGCGACGGCACGTGAACTAGATCCAAATATACAAGGGGTACATGCTATAGAAGAAGAAATTAACAAATATACTACATTATCTTATCGATCACCTGAAATGATTGACTTATACAACAACAAAGTGATAACTACAAAATCAGATATTTGGGCTTTGGGTTGTTTATTGTACAAACTATGTTATTTTACCCTTCCGTTTGGTGAAAGTCCATTAAAAATACAAAGTGGTCAGTTTAGTATTCCAGACACTCCAGAATATTCATTAAAATTAAATACTTTAATCAGTAAGTTGACATTAATTCAGTTAAATATTATATTATATCTTTAATGTAAGATACAATAAATTATAAAATGGTTTATTTAATGCAACAAATAATTTACAGAATACATGTTGGAGGTTGAACCTGATTTACGTCCAGATATTTTCCAGGTTTCTTTTATTGCATTCCAGTTAGCTGGAAAAGATAATCCAGTTCAAAATTTAAATGTAAGATAGTATTATATTAGTACTCCGTTACTTTTTTGTGAAAAATTTGTGTTCATATCTGAATTGTAATTATTGTTTCAGAATGTTCCCCATCCAAATATTAATGAATTAATTGTGTCACTAAATGAAAAACGAGTTCCTCAAACACCAAAAACACATGTCAAACAAAATTACCATCCATCTACCATTGTAGAAGGCACTAGTGTGAATCCAAGGCAAAGACCAAAACCTTTAAGTTCAGGAATACCTCCACCTTTAGGTTCATCTCCAACATTTAGAAGAGCATTTCAACCATCTGTTGGAATGTTAACAAATTCTCATTCGCCGGAAATATCTCACCAAAATAAAATACCACAGCAAATATCTCCACGGGAAAAATCCTCTCAAGTATTATTCCCAGTCAAAGGTAGATACATTTATTTGTAACATTTATAAAATTAACTTTTTACTAATAAATGTTTGGTCCATATAGATTATGCAGATCCATTTGTTGAAACTACATTCATTCAGTCTACAACAGCATCACCTTCATCATCCCCTTTAATTTCTATACCCAAACATAAACGAAACGTTAGCGAAACTTCTACATTCTCTAAGTATGCATTAGTTATTCGTCTGTTTTTCGTCCATTAAAAAGATAAATAAATAAAAATGTAAACTGATAATGACATTTTTATTTTGAAAATGTTATAATACATTTTATTAAGTTTGCTTTTAATTTTAGGATTTTTGTCAATGAAAATAATCAGTTCTTAACGTCCTATGAAGATACCACTAAAGAATGTTCTGTTGCAACGCAAGATTCCACTGTTTTTTCTACTACTAATGTATGTAACATAATCATTTTTAATAAATAGTAATTTATTTTCTTTTACATTGTAACTAGTTGTACTTATTAAAATACAATATTTTAGGTAGAACCTATTAATAATTTGAGTATAAAAAAATCATGGAATCCATTTGAAGAATCATCGTCTTTTCAGTATCAAGATGATGCTGAAAAGGAAACTTTTAATCCTTCATTCACTCAATTGCCTTCTAATGAGAATGGTAATAAATTATTTCAGTAGTTTTATTAACTAATATTTATATTAATAATTATTAAAATCTGTACCATTAGTTCATTATTTTATTTTAGTTAAACATTCAATTTTTAGATGAAATTATTGAAAAATCTCTAGAAGTAACTGCAAAAACAATGAAATCCTTTAAAACTGAAGAAGATCCATTTGGTTCTGCACCATTTCCATTCAAAAGTCAGTTTTTAACTTTATGTAACATGTTCTATTCTAACATTAGAATTGTTTAAGATATATTTTAACTTGTTTCTTTTAGGTATTGATGAATCAATTGGAAATAGTCCAGTTAGAAAAGTGTCACTTAATGGTAAGGAAATAATAATTTTTAAATAATTCTGCAGTGTCTGTATCTAACAGCTTTTGACTTATGCTCTTGCGGAGGTTTCCTGAACAGTATAGTAATATTTTTTTTATAGTTATGATAACGTATAAAATTTATAAATTGTGGATACAAAAATTTTGTAGGTAATTAAAACAATTATTTATAAGTTATTATAATATTTAATAGAAATAATTAATTATTGAATTTGAAAAAAATTATATAGAGCAAAATTCTGTTTTAATAATAATAAAATATTACATTTGAACATTTCTAATTATAAATATATATTAAGGAAATAATTATAATGTATAAAAAATAATATTATTTTACATTTTATCCGAAAATGATAGATCATGATTTTAATTATAAAACAATCATGTCACTTAAATTATTTATTTTTAAAACATCAAGTCATCATAACTTTTTTTAAGATTATAATCTTTTGAATAAGAATAAAATTAATTTTTAATATTTATATTATTGAAAATATTAAAAACTGAATTAATGAGCATTAAGAAGTTAAATTAAAAATTTCTTAAGTCTGTACAAGTATTAATTTAAAACATTAAATTTAAAGAAAAAAATCGTCATTGCATTTGTCAATGTTTTACTGAGAATCTAGCATAATATAATATAAATAATAGAATAAGCTTATAAATCGTATACATACAAATATTTGTGTCAACTTGAAGGTATAGTGAAATTAATTTATTGACAATAAAATGTATTTTATTTTAATAAATTTAAATTTCTTTAACTTTAAAATCATACTTAAGAGGTTACTTATAGATTGATGAATAAATATTTTTGTTTTATTATTTGACAGACTAAGCTTTTGCTGCATATTAATAAGTAGATTATTGTTTATACTTAATAGTTAATACTTCATTCCAATTAATAGTTTGGTATATTTTTGATTAGCATTTTTCAGTGAGATAACAAATTATTCTTTAAATATTGAGTTAAATGTTTTTTTTTTAATCAATTACTAAAAAACTTAAAAATTTATACATCATAACACTGAGTACACTTTTTAACGCATTTCTATTATTTAGTACAATTTATTTTCAACATATTTTTTAAATTAACAATTTCAATTAATAAAGTACGAAAATAGATTGTCAGTACCTACTTTGATTAATGATTTCTGATTATTAAATGAAATCAGATTATTAAATATAGAATAAATAGATAAATAAATAGATAAATTACCTGATTTGTCAAGAAACACTTGATTGAGATTCAGTTGTAGAAATTCATATCAATTAAAAAAATCAAATTACTAATTTTTCTTAATAACTAATTTTTAACTAAGATCTTTTTTAGGTATTGGAAACCTCCTTATTAAATTTACAATTTATCGGTTCTTAGCTAATACACAACTTTTATTAATTTAACACAGTTTTTATCAGCCTGAATTTATGTGAATATGCTCTATTTTATGAAAAGCAATATTAAATATTACTAATTAGGAAATTATTTCAGCTTCTACATCATAAAATCTAACAATTGTTTATTAATGTTACTAAGCCTGTGCTATTTAACAACCATGAAATCTCTTATCTGGTAATATGGTGCGTGTTGGTTGGTTCTTTGTAGGTTTGCAACATGATGGGAATCAGGATTGATACACATTTAACAATGTCTCACCATAAATTATGCATATCATAGATACGAGTTACGGTGATAATATGTGCATGAATTATTTACCTTCTACAAGAACTACTGCACTACTTAGTTCAATTATATATTTCTTATATAGTAGTTTTTAACTTATAATTTTATATACCTTCTAAAATTGCATGTTAAATTTTGGATATATTATTATTTAAAATATATAATATTGTTTATCTGAAATTAGTGTTTTTTGTCTTTTATCTCTTAATTTTTTAGGAACGGATATTAAAAAAAATGCTGAAAAATGGAAAACGTACTTCATTGAACATAATTTAAAATTAGACAGATTAATACTAAATAATCAACCCGATAATGATGAAATTGCTACTGGCTTAGTAGCAACAGCTCATAGTGATGATGAACTAGAATCAAATGAATGTTCATCAACTCCTTTTGTAAAAATCCCACTTGAAGATCGATCAAAATATGAAAAACTTGCTTGCAATACAGATGAAGTTTCTTCAGATGATAGTCAAGTAGTAAGTGGTGAAACTAGAAAAAAATCTTCAAAACGAAGAAAAATCCCAGAATTCAAATCAACTAGTCGTTTTCGAAAGGACAAAAAAAATAAAAAACATCAGAATGAATATGATCAATCTGATGATGATTCTATTGGATCAGCTAGTGATCTTCAAACTCGTAATGATGATGAAGACACAAACAAAAACATTCCTGAAACTATGACGGTTAAAGATAGTATGATAACATGTGGATCGTCAGCATATCATGCTGAATGTGAAAGTATGGCACGAGATGATATTCCTCCACCAAACGCCCAAGGAGCAACTAGACTTCGTGACCCGGTACCTGTTAAAAGTGTTGATGCTGAAATACCATTAATATCTGATAATGAAGGAGAAGAGTATGAAAGTTTAGACAATACTGATGTGTTTGCAATGGCTCCATTTCCTAAGGCGAAAAAAAAATGTTCAGATAATGATTCAGATCTATTTGGTTCTGTGCCTTTCAAATCCATTAACACAAATCCATTTGAACAGGCTGATTTTACCGATAGTGTTTATTTTCAAAAAGAAGACTTAATAGAAGCACCATTTAGATCTGAACCAAAAGAAGCTATTTTAGTGGATTTAGATCCACAAGAACCAATTTATATGAAAATAATTCCAAAAAGTGTTGCACAGGTAGCAACTAATAAAGTTATATCTACAATAACTACAAATAGTGGCTTCAGTAATATGAGCTTTGAAGATTATTCTAGTAGTGATGCCGAAGAGTGTCAAGCACCAGTTTATTCACCTTTTGAAGTAGTTCGACCTGAATGTGATATTAAAAGATCTTCTTTAAAAAGACGTAGTAATCCTTTTACATAACAAATTGTTGAAAACAAATATTTAACCTCACGCCTTGAATAAAATTTTACTTACAGTCTATATGAATTAAATTATAGTATGGTATTAATAATTTTTTTTGGTTCACTATGAGTACAATCAATCGTTAAATAACATTATTTTAGTGTAGTTTTGAATCTTTGTTACTAAAAGTACAATGTTTTGAAATCTCCTATATTTGTATTTTGAAAACAAATATTCTATTGTGATTTTAGTTATGTTTAAGTGTGATATATAGCACTTAAGACTAGTATTATTAAGTCTAGTTTATTGGCAATTGAATGGTCTTACATTGTTATATCTTATTATTGTTTTATTTTTTTTTTTTTTTTTTTTGTTTCGAAACTATTGTTGTTTTATTTATCAAGTCTCTTTATAGTCATTATTTTAAACATTTAAACCAGTTATATTTTATAGTCAAATACTACCTTTTAAGTATCCTATATTGTATGTATACTTTAGCAGCTGAAACACATGTTACAATAATTATTATATTTATAAGTATACTTAATAAATGCAGTATTATTTTAGGAAACTTTTTAATGAAAGATGGAAATAGTTTTATGATGGTTGTAATTTGTATGTAAAACATTGAAAATGGAATCTATTTATTTAACAAAAGAAAAATTGTTTTTTTTTTTTATTTCCTTTCATTATCTCATATTTATTTGTAAAATATTCCTTTTGAATTAATTTGTAAGAATCTAATATTTTTTTCAAATCCAGCAGAACCCATATAATCTGCAGCCTAAACCATCTTTATTTTTACAAGACCAAGTAATAATTTTCAAATAGCTCAACTAGCTATTATTATGAGCGTGATAAATTGCTGTGTAATGGTGTATAGTTACTATAACTCCATTGGTTATAACTTATAGTTTTAGTATAAGTTAAAGTATTATTTTCATTTAATATAATGCTATATGGATGGATACTTATCTGCTTAGCATTATAATTTTGGAACAAGATTTATTTATTTTGATAATGCTGTGCACACAATTTTGACAAAAATTATTATGATCATTCAATATTTTTTCCTAATAGGAATTTTTATCTAGTTTGTGTATATAGGAGTTTATTTTTTGGATTAAGTAATTTTCCAAATGCCAAATGAACGAAAAAAAAGTTGTAAGATACAAAAACAAATGGCTGATAAAGGAAAGTTTTTGTTAAAAATTGAAACCAACATACCAAGTATGAATGTATCATTTGTTTTGATAAATTCTGTAATTACTTTAGTATTTCAAGTATTTTGAGAATTTTATTTTATTTCATTCAATATATTTAGACTGATTAAAAAAAAAAAAAACGCACAATTGTTAAAAATAATAAATACTAAAAACAATATCACTGACGAACATTTATGTTGATTAGTGTGAGTACTTGTTGTCAGTCGCGGGGGG